CGCTGCCCGGCCCCGCCGCCCCTCCGCGGCTGCTGGGGGCACCTGCCCGCATCCCGGTGCCTCCAGTTCCAAGTACCTTCCCCAGCCGTCTCCGGCAGTGTTGCGTCCCTGCCCTGCCGGACCCCGCCAGCTTCTCCCGGTTCCTAGTAGCCAGGATCTGCCTTAAGACCTTCACTCTCTCGGGGTCTCTCTCCCTAAAGGGCTGTGCTTTCCGCAGCTCTTCCTGCACTGCCTCCTTTCCCCCGTGTGTGTCCCCCCCTGTCCCGGGGCTCCTTCCAGGTGTACGAGGGTTCGGTTTCTTTGTCTCGGTGGGTACAGCCGGACATTTGAAGGAATGTTTCCTAGTGATAAAGCGTGACTACAGCCGGAGGTTTATCCCGAACTGTATTCCCTCTTGTAAACATGGCAGAATGGCAACGTTGGTGCCACAGCTCTATTTTGGAAACACGGACAAGTTCTGGCTGTTAACTCTTCCGCTCCCACGCAGCTTGTCTTTGACCTTGTGTGCCAGAGCTATCGAGATAGAAGAAGATCTAAGTGTTCGAGGATGGGTTTCTCTAATTTGCTCTGATATTCGAGACTTCAGCTTGTTTTAATCGCTGTGATTTGTGATGTTAAATTGGCAGGAAACCTTCTGATCTGTGCGTGATGCAGAGAATGAGGCAGGTGTAGCGTTTGGGGTACCTGTGTTGTGGCAGCCTTTTTACCCTTGATGCTTTAGGAAATATGCCCAGCACAACTTGCCTTTATAGCTTAGTTAGAATTGAAGAAGACAGAAATCAGGGTATTTTAGATCATCTTTTCTCAATATATTGCTGCTTATTTTCATGAGTTTCTCATTGTTTTGCTTGGTCCCTGCTACCCCACCTATCAACCTTTTCAAAGTGGAGAGAAATCTGGACTGGTATTTGAAAGAAAGCATTTTATGCTGAGAGAGTGACAGTAGATCCAGCAATTGCTTGTATTTACCTGAGAAAAGGCACAGGCATTTAAGAATGAAACATGAATCACAGACCGTCTTTAGTTCTGAGGATTTTAATGCTTAAAAACGTATTGTTTGAAAAAACAGTAAATTCTTTCCTGTTTTCTTGAAGTGAAAGTCCAAAGCAATTCTTATTTAATTACAATTACCTTGCCATTCACTACAGCTGTTTGAACTGTGTCTAGTGTGCATTCTTTGTTGTGATTTATCTGACATTTAATCACTGCATTGAATGCATTCACCTCCAAGTGATCTTTGGAATAATATGTAGCATTCAGACCCAAAGTGAGTTTTCTTGCCTTTAAAACAAGAACTTATACAGTAGATGTGCAAGATAATTTTGGAGTGGAAAATAACTGAGACTTCTGAGTGCTAACTTTGAAAGCTTCTTACAGATTAAAGTTATTTTAGGGCTTAAGAGAGATTGAGAGAAGATTATTTTATGAATTTATTAGTTAAACAGTATCACCTCTTTTTCTTCCCTCGATTTTTCTCTCCTTTCTTAAAGTTCTGTTTTGTCTGTTGTGAAACATGAGTTATCTTATTTCTTTCTCTTTGAGTTTCAAAATGGTTTGGGGAAGACTACAGAATAAGATAATAGGAAGAAAAGCAGTAAAGGAG